GCGCTGGCTGCTGATGTTCCCGCTGTGCCGGCGGCTGATGCCCCCGAAGCTGATGGTGCGCTGCTGGCGGCTGATGGTCCCGCTGTGCTGGCGGCTGATGTGCTTCCCGAAGCTGTTGGTGCGCTGGCGGCCGATGTTCCCGCTGCGCCGGCGGCTGATGTTCTTCCCGAAGTTGTTGGTGCGCTGGCGGCCGATGTCCCCGAAGCAGCTGCTGGCGCGCTGGAGGCCGATGCCCCCGAAGCTGCTGGTGCGTTGGCGGCTGATGTCCCCGGAGCTGTTGCTGCCGCCGACAAGGGATTGGAGGCTCTGCTGTCTCGTAGGCGGCGCTCCCAATAGCTCCAGTCCACGTCCTCAATCGGGTGAGTTTCCACAGCTTGCACGCTCTGAGGCGCGGTGTACAAAGAGTGAAGGAGGTCCCATAACTCGTCTCGCAAAGAAGGCGAGTTCATGATTTCATTGAAGAGATTACAATGCACAGCGCTGCAATAGAACAGTATGTCCGAACGCGCAGTCTGGGGCGTCAGCGGCTTCACGGCATGGGTGTAAATCCCCCCCTTCTTCTTGTCGGTCATGGCCCCGCAACAACAACAACCCAACCAATTCGCGATGAAGAAAGAATACAGCGCCATGGAAATTCCAGACACCATTGCCTGGGCGATATGGACGTCCAGAAGAAATACCTGGACTACTATGATGATATGGAACGTGAAAAAACGATGAATCTGCCACTCGAACCCGGCGGCGCTTCCCGACCAGCCGAGCGGGTCCGCGACTCAAAAAAAAACTCCCCTCACCTTTCTTTCTGGGGAACGGCTGAGGGGGGTAATAATGACGGGGCGCTCGCGTACATGCACCGGGGTCCTTGCGAATTTGTTTCGCAAATATTATTGGGAATCTTTTTCAAATTAAAATCCGACCCTCCATCCCTCCAAACTCCGCCGCAGGCGCCCAGAATAATAATAATAATTTCAAATTGCGGCAGCACCACCAAATTATTGGAAGCATGCCCCCTGGATTTGCCCAGGACCCCCCAGGAATCTTAGGGGCCCTGACGGATTCTGATGGATTCTACTGGTTTCTGGAGCACCGTCCTGGAGGATTCCTCCCTGGACGCCCTCTTGGAGCCGTGTCGGGCCGTTTTGGGAAGCCGCTTGGGCCGTCTCGAGGCCATCTTAGGTCGTCTTGCGTCTTGGGCCGTCTTGAATCGGTCTTGGGCAATCTTGGCGGCCTTGGTGGCCCGTTTGGGCCAGGTGGCAGTCATCTTGGATTCCTCGGAGGGCACCGGGGGCATGTCTCGGCGCCGCATTCTGGACACCATCTGGTATCTGGAATCCAGATGACTGCCACCTTGGATTCCTCGGAGGGTGCCGGGCCATGTCTCCGACATGGCCCGGCACCGTTCGGCGCCGCATGCCCGTACATGTTTCGGTGGCAGTCATCTTGGATTCTTCGGAGGGCGCCGTATGAAAAACGTATTGAGTGGCAATGTATCGCCTCATGTTGAGGCCCAGAATGCAAGTGAAACAATTGTTTTTCTCAACCAGTTTTCTGGTGACCCCCCCCTTCGTGGGTCACCTGGTGTGCTTGCGCCGTATCGAAAACGCATTGAGAGGCAGTGCGCCGCCTCATGTTGAGGCCCAGAATGCAAGTGAAACAATGGGTTTCTCTCAGCCAGTTTTCTGATGACCCACCCCTTCGTGGGTCACCAGGTGTGCTTGCGCCGTATTGCAAACGTATTGAGTGGCAATGCATCGCCTCATGTCGAGGCCCAGAGAGCAAGTGAAACAATGGGTTTCTCTCAACCAGTTCTCTGGTGACCCACCCCTTCGTGGGTCACCTGGTGTGCTTGCGACGCATGGCAAATATATTGAGTGGCAGTGCGTCGCCACATGACGAGGCCAAGGATGCAGGTGAAACAATTTTTTTCTCAACAAGTTTTCTGGTGACCCACCCCTTCGTGGGTCACCTGGCGTGCTTGCGCCGCATGGAAAACGCATTGAGTGGCAATGCATCGCCTCATGTTGAGGCCCAGAATGCAAGTGAAACAATTTGTTTTTCCAAACAAGTTTTCTGGTGACCCACCCCTTCGTGGTTCACCTGGTGCGCTTGCGCCGTATGGCAAAAATATTGAGTGGCAGTGCGTCGCCTCATGTTGAGGCCCAGAATGCAAGTGAAACAGTTGGCTTTTCTTAACCAATTTTCTGGTGATCCACCCCTTCGTGGGTCACCTGGTGTGTGATTCGCCGTATTGAAAACGCACTGAGTGGCAATGCGTCGCCTCATGTTGAGGCCCAGAATGCAAGTGAAACAATGGGTTTTTCTCAACCTGTTTTCTGGTGACCCACCCCTTCGTGGGTCACCTGACGTAGTGAATGGCAGTGCGTCGCCTCATGACGAGGCCTAAAATACAAGTGAAACAATTGGTTTTTCTCAACCAGTTTTCTGGTGACCCACCCCTTCGTGGGTCACCTGGTGTGCATGCGCCGCATGGGAAACGCAT